TGACTTTCGCGCCATTTTTCGCACCCAAGCGCACTATAAATCCATTCTTGTGATATAAATTATGGCCTTGTAAAGAGTGAAATGAGAATCTTGAAGAATTTCTGTGCAGAAAATGGTGAATGCATTGTATTAAATGGGTATGCTTGATAAGAAATCTCGTGAAAATCCCATGAGAAACTTAAAATGTCTTTCAATATCTTCCTTTTCGCTATCACAAAGTCAAGTTCACAAACTGACAACAAAATTACATCTTTTTCCCTGTTTGCTCAACTTCTGCCAAGAGAAAGTATAAACATAAACTCTTTTAAAGCTCATGAAAGAGATTTTAGAACAATATTTACTTTGAATTCCTCTTCACCACAATTTATTTGCGGTTTCCTCTTTCTCTCTGCGTCCAATGCTCACGGGCAGAATATATTTTCCATCTTCCATGTATTGACAAATATCTTGTTGCCAGGAGCGGGTCAATTTCATACTGTGAAGCTCAAAAGTGGAAATGTCATGAACAGTGTAAACCCTCAAAAATGTCAATGATGGCTTGTGATGATGCATTTCCTCAACGATTCGCAGAATTTCCAACGGATCCGGATGGAATTTCGTGATTGAGATGTGAGTGCATCAAACACCTTCGCTATTTCACGTGAACAGACACAAGAGTGACTTGAGAGGAGAAAAATATGAATCGATTGTGCAATTTAACATGGAAGAGTATTTCACAAAGCTGAAAGAGTTGAAATCAAATTTGATTTGGTGCAATTGCCAATGCCATTTGTAAAACGTGACTCACGATTCCCATGCATTTTCTTTGTCATATCTCATTGTGATATTTATTGTCTCTCCTCCATGACAATTCCTTTACTTTGAGACTTCTTCTCTCTGGAATGCTGAGTTCTGAAGAATATATCTCACTCTTATCCATCGTTCTTTGAGAAAATTCCTCAGATAATCAGGCTACTGAAGATGCAGAATCCATGATGAGAAGGATTTTAATTGAAATTGTTCATCTGTTTAATGAAAAGACCTCGAGTTTGTCGTTCATGTCAAATTGCTGAAATTGAATTTGTCATTTTTAACCCACTCATCGTCCAGTTTCACCCACAAGAGCTCTACCAAGTGGGAAGAAAATCCCCCCAGAAGGACATTATACAGCAATTTATATTCACAAATGTGTTTACTTCATCCACCCTCTCTATGGACACACATGTCTTTTGGCACAACTCGACCACTTTATTTTATTTTTCACTATCCCGCCGGCACAGGAACTGCCTTTCGAGAGAGGCGCTCGCAAGTGGAGGAGATTTGTACCCACATAATTCATCTATCATCTCGCAGGGCAAAAAGGAGAAAAGTTTACAAAACTCGGGGCACTTTTTCCTCTCCTCGAACAACTTCACCCCATTCTTTCGTCCCCTTTGGCTGTCCATATGACACAATTTAATAGGATCGCGTACAAAACCTCTGAATTTATCTCGTTCGTTCTGTCTGAAAAATTTTCTCCCTGTCGAATATATTTTCCTGATATTCTAAAGCTACAAAAATAGCAAACAGAGACGCGGTTTAAAATGTCTGAAGTCTTCTAAATTATTCATATATAGTCATGGATCGTCAAAGAGAGTTAAGAGAATTGCAATGAAAAGCAAGTAATGTGCATATCTAATCATGTCTTTTATATGTCTCTCTGGAACACATTGACTCGGATATTTTTTTTTTACTTTTTATATACGCGAAGGAAAGAGATCAATTTGAATTTTACAAGAATAGAGATTTCGCAAGAGGCGCATTTTTTCCATGAAAATCCTTTCTCATTAATTTCCGTGGAAATTTATAAGCATTCATAAAAGAAAAAGTATCTTGTCTGAGCGTAAAATATGCCACAAGAAAAATGGGTTGAAAATGTATAATTTTGAATTATGAGCAATGAAAATGGAAAATCCCTGTTTATGCACATGAGAATATCCCATCTTTTTTCCCCTTTCTGACTCCCGCATTTGTAGTTAAGTTTTGCGATGCATTCGCGTGTACAAAAAGTGTGACAAAAGCGCGGATAAATTGTGACTAAATAAATAAATAAATGAAAAAGGATGCAGTGCACGAAGAGTGTAAGAATTTCCCAGGAGATGGAAATGAAAAACGGAGAAGGGAATAAAATCTCCATTTCCTAGGCGAACATTTGAATCCATATAGCGCCCTATGTACATAAGAAAATGTGAATCTTAAAGCGGAAAATCGCCTTTTCACGTGAGCTTCCCTGATGGGACCAGAGGAAATACTTCGTGATTTGCCCCATTTTCCCACACACAAAGATCTCCTCGTTCACACCATTCAATCCAATTTGATTTCCATCACATTTTGCCGCATAACGATGGAAAGCCGTGGGTGACTTTTCCTTCGCGCAGCAACATCCTCACCCGGCATTTGTGAATGTTTTTCAAGGAAAAGAGAATAAAAAACACGCGTGAAAGGCATTGGAAAATGAATGTCGCAAAGATTTTCTATATTGTATTCAAAATAGGGGCCGAAATTGATAAATGTGAAATGGTTTTACTCGTGATTTCGATGTGATATGAATCAATTTTTCAAACCATTCTCCATGTTGCTTTATCGTTGAATTAATATCTCACCAGAGACACATTTCTAAGCACATCACGAAGAAATCATTTCCTGCAAATTCCTCAAAGTCACACGGATCATTTGAGATGCGCGGTTTGTCGGAAAAAGTTGCTTTCTCTCTCTTAGAAAGTCACTGGAAAAAATCTGATTGAGATGTGCGGTTGTGGCAGAAAAGCTTTTTCAAATATTTCACCTCCACATCGTGGTTACAGTCCTTCTCATTTTCTTAAACAAACACTCACCGCATGTTCTTCAGCAATGAATTTCGGAGGAGACCAAAAATCATTTTTTAGACTTCAATTTATTCAGTTTCTGTATGCTCATGTTGTGTATAACTCTTTATAGTGCACTTTAATTGAATGAATTTCATGAAAATCATGGAAAATGTGCAATTTTCTGTACGTTGAGTGTTTATTTGTGGCTAAAACTTTTTGGATGGCAAACAAAAACATCCAGAAATGACATGAAAAACATCTTCAATGTGATTTAAGGAAGCATTCTGCAACACAACAATTCACTGGATTATTATGCAAGTCTCAAGCATAAGAAAAATATATATATTTTTTTCAATTCAACCACTGAACATAGAAAATGTGGCGTTTTTTGTCTAGTGACTAATTACCATAATGAGTATAAACCTCTTCACTCAAGTCCTTAATCCTTAGAAACAAACGACAGACGAATAGAAGAAGAAAAACAACCTCAGTTATTTCTCTTCACGGCAATATGGCGTGAAGAAATTAAATATTTAGCTCGGTGCCAGTGGCACTGAGTGATGTGAGAAAAGTGAGCGAATAACCACGTGTGAATGATTATTGGAGATGAAGTGATGTGGTTCCATGGCACGAAGGAATTTCGCGTGGTGTGAGGCGCTAATTTAGCACTCCTTCCATGATTGATTCCACTTTAAGCACATCAGAGAAGCAAAACCGCTTCGCCACCTCTTCCTGCATTCTCACGCGCAATGCTGCCATGCACAGCATATAATAGAGCCATCAGGACCCGGTGATTGCGTGCGGGACTCATTTGAGCGCACGTCAATTTCTGTCACTCACGCTCTTTTGCATTTTCACGGTTGTTTCATGCAATATGGCTTTCAATCCCTTTTCCCGCTGAGGCTGTTCATTTGTGTGATGCGGTTTCGCTGCACTTCGGGATGGCCTATTTTTAGGAAATTCTCCAGCATCATCATTCACCCCAGGAGAAGAGAATAATTAAATTCTCATCAGATGCATCCTTGTGCGGTGCACGGAAAATTCCATCCTCTTCCAGTCATCACGCTGTTTCTGTTTTTAATTAAACCCACAGCCTCAAGATATGAGAGATGCCAAAAAGCATCGCTTTCATCGACAGTGCGAGTAAATGGCTCTACTGGGGCGAGGCTCGTCTCCCCAAGGACCCCCCCCCCCACCCCCTCCACCCTACACACACAATAATTAGCTTTCCATGCACAAGAGAGATGGGAAAAACTCCACACTAAAGTCTATGGATTTTCCCGACGCCATTCCTCTCTTGGGAGACATATTGTGAGATCCTTGTGCACCACATGGCAAATTTTCCCACTCCGTCGCACTCTCAATCACGTTTTTAATATCTCAAGCTATTTTTGCCGCACTTGGACGCACACTTTATACAATCCTTAAAGCATCTCGACCAGAGGTGAAATCCAATCAACTTGCGATATGTGCATCTTCCGGCAAGCAATGTTGCTTCCGTAGAAGAATTTACATTTCCGATTTATCGCTGAGTTGAGAATTTTCATGAATTTTCCATTTTCCCGCTGAGATTGCACACATTAATATATAATATTCTCAGTGGAATATTTATCATTTTCCCAGCAATACCAAATTTCTCCACTCACCTGAATTCAAACGGTTGACTGTCGGTGGTGTTCTCGTTAACTTTACATTGGAATCAGTATTGAGAACAAGATATCCTTAAATAGATTTCAACGGAAAAATCTCTTTCACTGCAAATAGATGTATAATGAAGATAATTGGTCGAAAAATACATCAAAAAGCACAGATAGAGAAACTCAAGTTCAAAAACATTCCTTTCTAATCAGATATTTTTTTTACATTCGGTGATAAAAGTAAGAATGTTTGTGCTGTGCATATTTTTAATTCAATGACTAAGCAGAAATCAATTACTTGATTCAGGGAAAATCGGCGGAAATTTCTGAAAATCTCGGGTGCAGATCCAAAACTCATGAGAATTGGTGCTCGTGCAGAAATTTGCCTAACATTTGGCCATTCTCGCGAGAGTTGAATATTTACACTCTGGTGAACAATGAAAAGTTTCTGGTCTGCGCTTCCAGTTGGCGAGCGTGGAAATTGCCGAAACTGCAAATGTTCTCACTCTGCATGGTGAAACAATAAGATAAGAAAGTTCGAGGGAAAATTGAGCATTTCCACCACTGTAATATTGCAACTTTTCCCACATTTATTAAAACTTAATAATATTGACAGATTTTTTCTTGCTCCTCCTTTCTCTCACACTCACACTTTTTGGACTACAAGAATTTATCCTCATTTGATCTACCTAGAAAACATGACTTATTGATTTGCTGATAATGCATATGATCATGTCTTTTTTCTGCTACAAGATCATTATCATCATTTCATTATGTTTGTAAATAGAAACTCAAATTGTATGTATATTTTAGTCTACAATGATAATTCATTTATGTTTTTTTTTTTCTCGTAAAATTGCATTATTAGTTTTCTTTTCCTCCCTTTCTCACCCTATAAATAGAATCCTAAGATCAATCTCTATATGTTGAGAGTTGATTATTGAGTCTAAGATGCTAAAGTTTGATTTATAATATGTCTCACATAATCTCACTTAATAGATATGAAGATTATTGATGATATTACCATTTGGATGGGAATGCCGACACAGCGCACGAATGCCATTAATTATAAATTACAGTTCGCGCAATTGTGCACCTCGGCATGCCTTCTAAGAGGTTTGTCAATTATTAGAAAAGGTTCTGTGAAAGTTCTATCAACTACATTGTCTCTTGAATATGCTAAAAATTGTTTCATCTCCTCTTCATCCACAGCAAATTTGATATTACTCTCGTCACATTTGTCACTTGCAATGAGCAAAGTCTTGATTTCACTCTCTCTCTCTCTGGGGGCCAAACGACTCGCACTCCTTCACATTTTGGCTATGATTTTATACTTCTAAGAGATATGACTTTATTAGAAAGCCCCCAGAAAACTCTCACTCTTTCTCTCTTCCTCTTTCGGGTTATTACTTATGCATCTATGGAAATGAAAATCATGCGTTATTGTTTAAATTTAAATTACTTTATCACAATTACTCGACTTTGATAGTCCATTTGCGCAATGTCAACTGATCTCATCGTCTGCAAATCAAAGAGTTTCGTAACAAAATTTGTGCGCATCAAAAACCAAACTCAATATTATACATCTTTCTTTTATTGGGAGAAAAGCCTTTTGGACATCAATCGAATTCCTTCCTTCATGGAAGAAAGCACTCAATTTTACTTGTCTGCTTCTTTGTACAAAAATATCGAGAATTCCGGACTGTAATCGTCCTTATCTGTCTGTCAAAAGTCATGATGAATCTCGCAATGCTTTCACAACTCCTTTCGCATCCAAGAGACGCTCTCTCCAAGTTGGTGGAACATTTTCCAAATTGCACGCGAATAAGCGCACTGAAAAGTCCTCCTCTCTAATGTGGCGCTCTCGTTTTATAGTTGACAGAGCTTTAAGAATTTACTGAATGGGAAAATTCCCCAGGTGAAGTCGAGCGAGTTACGCCAGAGAATGAACTTTAGCTGAGAGACAGTTGTGAAGAACGAAGACCACGGGTTTTGGGCAGCATTCCATGTCCAATTCCTTCACAAAAGCGTCACAAACACACACACATTATATTCTATATAGCAAATGGAGAGAAAAAGAAGTCTTGTTATGGGAAAAATTACTTACGATTTCGCCATCTTCAGTGCCAAAGTCCAGAAAGAGGCAACGAACTCCATCGTCGGCACTGCCTTTCAGTCGGTCGAACGGATGACACCAAATGGCTTTGCCTGATGGCCCAATTCCACCCTCGAGGAGGGAAAATCCCCGATCGAGATGGACAATCAATTGGCACGGACGACTCTGCATTCAAGAGATAATGAATGGATGCAATTTCAATACAGAAGCCTTTTGTGTCATTTATTACTGGTGTGATATGCAGACAATCGCTGTGGATAATGTTTCTGACAGTGTCAAACGCTTAAAGCGTTACAAAGTGAATTGATATTTCACGTTTCGGGGGGCGAAAGGTTGAATAACAGATTAAAATATCAGTTACTCTTTAAAATTGTGCATTAAACTGAGTAATGTGACTATATGAAATAATTTTTCTTTCGATCCTATACGATTTAATCGCCGTATAAGAAATAAGGTTTATGAAATCTAATAAATAAATTCAATATACTTTAATTCTCAGTCAAAAGACGAAATGCCATCTCGAAACGGCGCAAATTGGCATCATGTGGCGTCCAAAGTATGCGTGAATTTCTCACATCGGAAACGCGTCAAAGACAATGAATGGCCAATAAATCAAGCCCCAACTGAGGCCGACATTACCTGATAGAGGCACCGGAATGAGAACTCCCGCTGGTAGCTAACGGCGTAGTGACTGCCCTGAACGAGAGCTCGCGCCCAGGCCGCCATGTCGCGATGCGTCTCGGCGCGCAGCCAGTGACTGATGACGCCTCTGGTGGTGCCGCATCTCACGCAGAACACGGTGCTCTGGTGGGCCTGCACAAATTAAATCCGCGTTCTCAGATCGATCCACCGCACACAAATCTCGCGATTTCACTTACCGCATTATTTGAATTCACCGACGATGAGCTTCCGGCACCGGCCAGGCGTGTAGACGCGAGGGAGCAGCATTCCAGCGGACGACTCCAGGCCTCAACACTCCACGGAGCGCTTTCGTATATTCTATAACAGAGAGACCGAAGAGAGAGAGTCTTTAAATTCCGAGAATCCCCGCCAGAATGTTCTGGAGAAAATTCTTAAAGCTCCCACTCAATCTTGAAAGGAATTCCATTTAAAGGCACACAGTGACTCTGTTTCGAAGAGATACATTAAAATTCCCTATTAAGATACCTCGTCTGGCGATATCAAGCGTCATTAAATACTTCTTAGTCCCTCTCGACGAACACCATACCTTTCCGTTTCGTCCGTGGTAACTTTCATAAGGACGCATTCAAGAGATAGTAATTACAATTTCCACGATGTGGCTGTCTTAAGAAGTGACCCTTAAAAAGAATGACTATTTTCTACATCGTCTTCGTCACTTTTAAAAGTTGATTATGGCGAAGTGATAAAGCCACTCTCTTACATATTCGTTGAGCATGAAATGAGCAAGCACATGATGAACATCCTTTGAACAAACTATAATGACTGTTTGCTCTTGCTCTATATGAGCTTTACAATATATCACATCATCATTCTTCAGACAAGGTGGAAACAGAAATTATTCGTTGCCTTGATCCATGATTAATCATCATTTCTACAGACTTTAAATGTTATTAATGTCAAGGAGGGCGAAGAGAGAGGCTCAGAAGGGCAAAAATACTTGAAAATAATCTAATGATTCTCTTCTGCATGATGGCATATTTTTCCAGCCGAATATCCCTCTCATATATAGGATGAAGAACCTTTTGCCAAGAGGCAGTAAGCCCCTAGAAAGTACGGCAATTTGAGCATGAAATTAAATTCAATGGCCGTGCTGAAGAAGAGGTAAAAATATTCTCAACTGGAAATTGCAGGAGCATTTTCCAGTTGCTATTAATGTTGAAGATTCACGTTGGCGAAATGTGAAACTGCGAGGGTGGATGGAGACAAGTGCTGGATAATAGTCGTTCATTAGGCGGTCAATGACGATGGCATGTGCAGTGAACAAAGCATCGACGTTCCATTTATTTATGAACTCCACCATTGCTCTAGCTAGAGCACATTCAGTCCTAGCAAGCTTAGAGTTCAGTGAGATTAAGCCCTTTACAGACACGGAGAGAAAAGCTTTTGAGTCCTTCTTTGCACTGAATAGTTTTATCCACTGTGCAAAGAGGATTATACCTTCATTCTTCATATGCATTCCCCATGTGACGCATACTTTTCAATAAAATCTCTTTAACTGTTGTGAATACCTATAATATATCATTTGTGTGTGATTTTTTATCACAAGGCTTTGCAGATGAAAGTATACGTATTATCATGATAAGCATACTCTCGTCTGTGCTTTGAATTCGTTAGTCCGTGTTGCTCTTTCGCATGATATTTGCCGGAAATTATTTTACATTTTCCATCGACAGAATAGCAAATTGCATCCCTTGCCGGATGTTGTTCTGCACGGAACGATGAAAAATTGCATTTACTTTTCTAAGAACGACGAATAATTGATGACCATACATATGTACATTATATACAATTTCTCTTTATATATTTTCCTTCAAATTGAGATGAAAAGTATATACATTCCTCCTGGATATTCTGCATGCAACAACGCTGAGTATGTCTCAATATCAAGACGCGAAGAAGATTAGGGAAAAATTCGTGTTTTATTCCATCTCAAAAGGAGATTTATATCTTGCTCATGTCTGGTGTATCGCAGCGACATAGCGTAGAAGCTCAAAGAAATTGAGGAAGCTGTATCACGAATGAAATAAATGTACAGCATTTCTCAATTTGACGGTGAAAACAAGGGAATTTCATTCGAAAGATGGGAAAAGAAGAGAAATGATACCGAGATGGAGGATAAAGTGGATTTGTATGCAATTTCCCACTGGTGAGTGATCATTATTCGCATAAAGCATAATACTCGCCACTGAAAGACATTCGAGGCGACCTCGCATGAAAAGCCCCGGAAAGAGCTCAGCATTTTCGAGGACGTCGCACCTCCTGAAATGCCCTCAATTGACCACAAACATGCGACATTGAATGGAGATTGAAGCCATAGACACTGTGCTTAGTTGAATGCTTCCTCGCAAAGATATCATGTAATCCTTGAGCGAATGAGAAAATCCCCACAGAAAAATCCATGGTTTTCAACTGTCACAGCCTTTCATGGGACGAATGAGGAAAATCTCCTCGTTTTCACAAATTTTCTGCTTGCTTATTACATACATTTTATTAATTTATTAATACCCCCAAATTATTAAATTGGGTATTTAATGTAAAATCAATTTTCAATTATATTAATCAGTTCTGGGAAAGCAAAAATTCAACAGAATTCGCTTCAGTGAAGCGAAAAATTCGACATATGAGGCATAATTAAAGGAATTTATGGCACTATGTGAGATTTTCACTAATTTCCATTCGATTATTATTTTTAATGATATAATTAAAATTAATTCATGCAACCTTTAATTACATTTACGGATAACAAAGTCTTTAGGCACAATACAGTCAATCATATTGTGTAAAAATATTGCTTTTATTATTAAATGAATCATTTAGATATATGAATTGGATAAATTTCTGATTTTCCCCCTATAAATGCCGTAAAATTATTCCCAAAACTGCGATGCTGCTATCATGGAAATGGACTTCTCAAAGTCGGACGAAAGAATACATGTTTTAGAGATGAAAAACGGACATGGATGAATTAAGTATGTTTTTGAGGTCAGTCGACAGACATTAATTAGAACAGAGGCACAATTTTGGCTTTGTTGCAAAATTGTGAACATGCGGCCAAATTGCAGAGAATGTGTTTCATAATTCCACCCACAACCTCAGCTAATTTCCATAGGGAATATACTTATGGTGTTTTGCAGGAAGATTGCTTTATTGACCCACTTTGCATCGATGCATGGAAATTGTCCGCCACATTTTGGGAATAAAAAGTGTATTTTTTTTTATAATTTTCATTAATAAATGACGTGAAATAAAAACAATTCCGGACAAAAACTGTCGACTATGAAAAATTTTATTTCAATTTCACCCTTTGACTCTTATTTGCTCTTCTACGCAAACACTCGCGGTAAAATGGAAATTTTCAGTCTTCGGAAAAGTGGAAATGCAGTAAATTTATGGTGAAGTCATGAAATGCATACTGTCGCATTCAATTATCCACGAGTATAATAATATCTATTCGTCTTTCCATCAAATTAAGAACATTAAAGGAAGACTTTGATTGATTGAAACTGAAAGATAACTTTAGGTGCTTTCAAATGTACTCGAAAATTCCGAAGAATTATCAGGACGATCTATTTCTGTGATCTTCTATTTCAGTTTCTCTTGTGGATGAGCGCAGAGGAAATTAATAAGTCACCCAGTGTGCTTCCCTGTGATGAAAGCTCCATCAAAAACTCACCTAAGCTCCCGATCCGTGACTGCGACAAACACTGGCTGCCATCTATCTGTGTCATCTGAGCTCTCTGAACTCGACCGGCCATTCTGCAATGGTATAAAATTACATTTTTTTCCCCCTTCCTCACCCAAGCATTACCGACAATTTTTCCACATGAAAGCGACACAGGAGCTGGCAAAGCTGTGGAAAACACCCTGAGAGATTTTCCGTGCTTCACCTCATCACAAGATTGCCTTCCTGCCGGGGATAATCAAGGGAATTTCCTGGGCAAGTGGAGAAAAGAAAAAATCCCCCACTCATGGGCAGATGAATCAAGTTGATTTTTAATAGTCAAAAGGATTGACTTTCAATCCCCAAGTGGATTTACCACACAGCACACAGAGAGATAAAAGCCCTCGATGGGATCGTTTGAGTGCTTTTTTCTCTCCTCCACTTTTGAGGCATTCTCTCATTTTCTCCATCATCGCATGGGATATGTAGTCATAAATAACTTTAACATTACAGTCCCCACGCAATTTCCCACGCCACAGAATAGCCTCAATTTCATGGTCAAATCCCATCCAATAACTTCACATTGTCGCCCATATTTGGTTTGTGTTTTCTGCGTTGCCCATTATTTTTTTCCCCATATAGAGTGTGAAAAATAAATTTCCCATTATTCAGGGTGCTCACAGCCTTTCCAAAGCTCCCCCACTGAGCTTTACAGCCAATGAGTCAGCCATTTATGCATGGCAGTGATTGGCGTAATGAATATGTGCTTGTTAAGTGAAGCTGATCCATTTTAAGGACAATCCTTAATTGAGAGCTTCTTGTGCGCAGCCTATTTTCGTTAAACGCTGTCTAAACTGTCGAAAATTACAGGCAATGCAAAAATAATGCAATAATTCTAATAAATAACCCGGTTTTTTACTGATGATACTTGATTATTCACCATTTAAAGATCTCCGCGCACGTTCTTCTTCTCACCTGTTCACAACCTATCCTTCTGCTGAGCCATCCAATGTACTTCAGCTCCCCGAGAATGCTGGTGAGCGATCGGTTGGCCTCCAGAAGGGCGCACTGGGTGCTCCTGGACATTGTCGAGTGCAGAGCATTGAACCAGGCGAGTGCCTCTTGGGAATCCGCAGCGCGCAGAACGCAGGAATGGATGCCATCCGGTGAGTGGAGTTCTATGCATCGATTCTCTGCAAAAGACACACATATTCACAGTGGAGAAATTCAATATTGGCACTAATTTGAGGTCATGCGGAAGGTTTTTCCAACCAAAGAGTGTCCCTGGAATATTGATTTCCATCAGCTGTCGGGCGAGTGTTTAAATAAAAGTGTCACATGAATGGTTATCTGGGACAGAGAACTCTTCCCGAGGGAGTCAGGTGCAAAATTGGATGAAAATCTAACGATCCAGAACACTTTTCGCAACTCCTCGTTCGATGGGATAATGCTAATGTCCTCAAAAATACATCAATGGTTGAGTTTGTGGTCCTGAGTGTCACCGCACAGAAGGACAGAAAAAAAGTAGCATTTCCCATTCGTGCAGCACAAGGAGAAACAATGTAACTCTGGACCAATGTAAAAAGTTTGCTTGTCTCGCATAAGTTTGCTTCAGAAGTAAAACAAACAAAAAAACATGAGAATTCTTTCAAGTTTTCATTTAGATTCACAAGTAATTGTCCAAAGTTTGTTTTATGTCACTCTTTCCAATCATTTCCAGGAAACTTTCCTATGAGCTTTCCAACACACAGAGTGTGTCTGGGGTCGGAAAACCTTTTTCCGAACGCTTCAGCTGAATCAATGAATATAGCGTAATTGATGAGAACAGATGGAATTTGCATGTTTGATCCATGGCAACTATTGGATGCTGAATAATTGGCAAACAAGGACTTTTATTGGCCATTTCATCCTATAAAATGCCAATAATTTGATCAATCAGAACATCAGGCAAATGCATTTTACGCTCTATCATTGTATTTCACCCGGAAAATTTCATTTATTCAACGCGAAACTCATTAAGCACACCCTTAAAGCATTTCGAAGCAGAAGTGCGCCAACCCTTTTGATGTATCAAAAGCCAATGAGTAATCTATTCTGTAGCAGATAACCTTATAATTCAATTAATTTGTAATGTCGCATTCACATCACAATCACATGCTTTCATGAGATGAAGCAATTTCAAGGTGACTAAAGCACAAAAGGATGGAATTGTGGATGGCAAGAGAATGAATTCATTCCTCAGACATTTGCAAATTCCCTAGAATCGTATTGTCGCTAATATTTGCAGATTAAACACTAAGAATTGACGAAGGAGAATTCTCAGAATATCCTTTGAATTCAGTCAAGCGATGCCATTATTTCCATTAAATTGTCTCTCGCCAATCACTGGAAATAAATGCGAGGAATTCAGAGGCTCGCAATTGAAATTCAAATTTGTACGTTTTTTCTCACACTCCAAGACAGTTTCACAGAGGATTTCTGCCTCGATATCTGACAAAGGCTGAAGTGCAGGGTAATGATGTACACGTACTTCAATCTATTTGACGTCCACAGATTGAAGTTTGAGCAGTTTGTATAGATGGAAGATATTGAATGGCGGCTCATTTGTTATTGAGCATTAAGAGTGATTGTTTGATCGTCCCTTAGACATGGCAGAAAGCTCACTGACGAGCTTTTTGCCCTAAGAAAATGCCGTGACAGTTGGAAAATATCCACTCAAACCGAATGAAATTGGAATTCAAGAGCTCACTCCTTCTTTTTCTCACCTTCCACCCGCCATTTCCGCTGAAACAAAACCACCCACAGTGTTTTCATTCCCGACTTGTTCAACATTATGTATATGTATGTATGTGTATGTGTTACAATTTTGCCAGATTGGCGACTCCAAACGCCATTGGTGGCAGACGTAGGAGAAAAAAAACAGCCCCAAACGAGCTGCAAAAAGAGTGGAAAAGAAGGATGGAAGTGAAACACGCTTTCCAATATCGAATTCCATGTTGTGTTCGTGATAATGGAACTTCGATAGATGGTTGATGGTTTGGCACTCTGACTCTTGTTTGTTTATTTGAGCATCATCATGTGAGAAGACAACTGTGACTCGTTCTCATCGCAATTTTCATTTCTCATTCTTTTCACTCGACAAGTCACTCATCAAACAACCTTTATTTACAACACACACCGCTTGCTTTTTCTGCCCTCCTGCGCTCTTCAGGCATTCTGGGGGTGTTTTTTTCTTTTCTTTTTTAAACATCCACAAACACAACGCCTAAGTATTTGTTTTTGTACATCTACATGAAGCACGAGATCCTGCGGCAAATTATTTCTATAGCACATCTGTTAATGTATAGTGCAAAAGAGGCCACAATTTCAACACATGACATGATTTTCAAAATACCTCTGCGAAAAATCACCCAGAAAGACGTCGGCGAAACGTCTCAAAGGGCAATTTTAGGGTGATAAAGCGAGGAAGATTGCTCGGCTTTTTAATGTGCCAAAGTGAGTATGAAAATGTTGTTTAATGTTTCCAGTTATAGAGTCATCACGCAAAATGTAATTAAGCATTTTCACCAGACGCCTTTCTCCATACACACAAACACACACACACACACAATGCAAAATTAATTTAATGCAATATAATTTCTACGCCATTTTCATAACACTTTAAATGGCACTCGGCAAATATGATTGTTGCTCTATAAGTAAATGCTACAATTATGTAATGTTCCCAAGTGGAAAATTTACATTAAATTAGTAAATATATGTTTAAGGAGAAGGAAATGGCAAGTGAAAATTTCCCATCAACCTTTCCACTACGCGTCCAAGAAAATTCCTCCAGCAATTTCATCATCGACATTCCACTCTTCGATGGAAATTTCGCGGCAAAACGGCATGAGGAAGAATTTATTGTTGAAGAAGAGTCAATTTATGATTAATAAACCCTGAAATTACTCTCAAAATCTTACTCTTTCCATATTTCTTGCCAAATTACACAATCTCAGATAGGAAAGCAAACATTCACAATCAGGAAGCTTTTCGTGTGAATAGAAAATTAAGGCAAAATTTTCCTATCGTTCGTTGCAATTCATAACTGTCAAGTTGTTTAAAATTATGCACTGCCTATAAAAGGACACTAAACTATAATTCATGACTCTTCCGCTGATGTGAGATTGGGGAAAAGAAACGCCCGGCTATTGAATACGATATTCCCTAAAGCTGAGACGCTTTTGTCAGGGACGCGCAGAGAAATTATCCCTGGGAAAGTGCACACAAAAGATATTGCCTTATCGAATTTCAGCTCAATGAACACACAACCCACGGATTTTCAATCTTTTCGGCACGTCTTTCTCCACCTCATTGCTTCCCATTTTGCCCCAAAAACTATCCTATAATATATAATTTTGCCTCTTTTGTCTTTCATCCCACGCGCAAACCTACATCCAATGAGCTTTTCCACCCCGTGAATTGTGTTACCATGTGGATCTGTTTTACAAATTTGCCGCATAAACAGACCAGCTGCTCGTGACAAGTGAGAATCAATTATTCGTAGGTGTGGTTTTCCGATTTTAATCCACTTTTGATTAATTACACTGAAACCACTAAAACCTTAATCGCCAATTTTGAGGCGCGCACTTCCATCTTCCCGCCAAGCCACATGTTGGCATAATCCACGGAAATGCCACTGCTTTGGCACCGATGACATCCATAATTGTCAATTGAAACCGCATCGAGTATGATTTTCACATCCTGACAAGCTTTAAATACTTTTGACATGAGATTGAAAAGGAGTTTTGCCGCCACTTTAAATGCACTGACAGAATATTCAGTGTTCGCCGGTGGGAATTTTTAATTTCACCCACAATACTTCGTGTCACGTCACCGTGACAAATTACTCAATTCAAAAATTTATCAAGTTCAAAGTTTTCAGTGATCCTGTGATAGAAGAAACTTTTCCAACAACACTGGAGAAATTTGAGTGGCAAATGTTTCGTTGAATTCTTTATGTCTGCTGATCTCGCCAAAGTTTTCCTCTCTCTGTATGTATTTTTCCCGCGACTCATATACACACGCGGGAAAAGCTTTTCGCCTCCTCGCCCAAAAATTGCTCTCTCACTCATGTGTAAAAATGAAGAAGCCACAGAGTTGAGAAGTATCTCTCAAGTGCCCTTAATGCATTCTCTGTCCTGTAAAGGATTGCCCAGAGAAATCCATATTCTGCCTTTGGTGTGGCTTTTCTCCTTGTATCTCAGAGGCAATTTTTTACCACGAACCCCAAACTTTCCTTCGGCCGTAACGAAGAAATATTATTTGATTTTCTACTTCATAAATTCTCTCCGTCCCACGTCGAAGGTGTGGGAGGATTTAGGTCGCAGTGCGACGTTTGATGGGGGGAAAATTGATGTGGTGAGTGGAAAAATTCGGAAATGTGCAGTTTTCCCAGAAGGTTTTTCACGCACTTTCCAGCTTTATATCTATCCCATATCATTCTACATACAAGACGATGTGAATGATTGGAAAATTGGGGTCTACAAATGAGAAAAAATGCATGAAAATTTAGGAAAAGTGCAAAAATGCATGTAAGATTTACTAGGAAATAGAAAATGCACAAAAATTCTGGTGAAAGATTACAGATTTTGCTATCATATCACAAATTCTGCTCCAACAGTTCCTTTCTTCGCGGAAATAACCAGTCTTTAGTTATTCGCACGTGTTTTAGTGGTAAATAAAACAAACCACGTCCGCCACAATTTGAAATATGACTGCATTGATATTTGGAATTTTTCTCACATTTTTCCAGCTATAAAATCTTTTTTCACCACCAGACGATTCTTTCGATCATTCTGCTGCATTCAGCACTCATCAAAGTCGATTTGAGTGCAGAATTTAATTTAACCATAAGCTTTTCTCGCTCGCATCATTGTGGCTTATTGATATGCGTCGCATGGAAATTGAGGGCCTTTTTTTGCAACTGACACTTGCGTATTAATCTTTATAATTCGTGTGCAGAAGAAGAGAAAAACTTCTAGAGATTGATATAACAATTACGAAACTTTCAGCGTATGTTGTGAGGATATTAAAGTAATTTTATGGCCACGACTTATCTATAAAGCCAAAGAGAGTGTGCACTCGACATAAAAGCGCATTAGAGGCGGGGATTATCCTAGTTGAACTGATGCCATTGTACACAGGAGCTTTTAAATCACTACCCATGAGAGTTGCACAAAGGCGGACGTATTGAAAGAAAGTCCAAGTCCATTAATTTGAAGAGAGCGAGATTTCACAATCTTGTGATTGTTCCCATTATGATAGAGATGAAGAGAGCTTTCTCTGCCTTTCCGTCTGGCTTGTTTCTAACTTTGGACGATGACCGTTTGATGCTTGACGATAAAACCATTATATATACTTATATACATTTGTATGCAACTGCTCGTAAAGTGAAAGAAAATCCACCATAAAGTGAGAGATTGGAATTTTCCACTGTGTTATTTGATAGAAAATATACTTGAAGATGCTTCATTCCTCCGCTTTAAAAGCTCGTGAAGCTTGTAATTATCACAGAAACAATTATATTACAATAAAGATGGGAAAACCATACAGAAAATCGTGTGATTTAATGGCTTGAAAAAGGTGAATTCTTCCCTTCTTGCGCGATACAATTCTGAACCCATAAAATGTTGAGAAAAAGGTTTGGAAAACTTTTTTCTCCGCATTTCTTTTTTTTTATTAAGGGTGAATGCATTAGAGAAGAGGCAGAAAGCTTGCCCTATCTTTGGGACTTTCTCTCTCTTCTTCGCGAATTAAAGTCATTTGAATATTTTATTAATTTTTCTCCCCCATCGCCGCACTTCAAAGCGACAAGGGCGAAATGCAGAAAAAAAGGTGACGGCGAGCTTTTGGAAAGTATCAACAGATAAATGAACTTAATTAAATATTTACTATGAGAAAAAGTTTTTTACGACCACCACCCAGGCAAATGGGACACAAAATACCGAATGGGGTGTCGCGAAATGAGGTGGGAGTAAATGAAATTTGCTGATTAACTCACTCATTGCACCACCATCAAAATGGTTCGATCGTAAAAAAGGGAATTTTATGTTTGGTTTGGCCTCTCTTAATATCTCTGTGTGAGTGTGTGCTTTTTATAGCACGAATTTGCCGTGCTTTCCCTCTGACGCCACTTGCTGAATGGCGGCGGGCTGTTTTTTCCTGACTCTCAATTTAACTGGACGCTTTTTCCTTCCCCCCGTGTGAGTGTGTGTGTATATATAGATTTCCGAAACAGAAGCTTCCGTTGTCCATTTATTGTGGCGTCGGTTTCACGTGGATGGTATTTATGGGAAATTTCCACTTTTTGCCATACACACAACTTTTCTATCACAGTCTTTAGCTTGTTTATTTTCTTCTCTTCGCGCTGTTTTCGTGTTTTTCATGCATAATAATGAACCTCTGACTCGTTACTCTCACACTCCTTTCCTTCTCTCTGCACCGCCGTTCTAAAACTAATAGCAGGCTGCTTTCATTTTGCAAGTTGTGCAAATGAACATTATGCTTAAACACCTCATGAGGTAATTCAAATGCATCTGTGCTCAAAGACATCCAAATGCCATTGATCTGAGTTTACGCCGTAATATATTTATATATTCTTTCACTCTATCTAATAAAGAATGGTTTTTTTTTCTTTTATATTGGCATAAATACAATCAGGCAGCGCATTAATATTTACGATTAGTATCTAATTGTTGTGTAATATTTATCCTGTTTGTCTCCCCATTTCGTCATCAGCTATTTTGGGGGTGTATTAAATGCCGAATGTTTGTCTTTCGGCCCCGCTTTTACCCGCTTCGAGTCCAATATTTTGGCGTGTGTGTGTGAAGGGTGAAAAATAACTTGGGGTAGATTGTGATCAACACTTAATTGCTGGTGTCTCTTGTTATGGGAACGTGTTCTGTTTGCGCATCCCCAAAGCGCTCCTGTATATCTTCACCATCAGATCCCTCTGGCCATTTCACGCAGCCACACCGGCACACAAATCCACCGAAAAACCCACTGAAGCAGAAGCCATTGAGGCCTAAGCAATTTCAGTAATAGACGAGAGGTGAGTAAACTCAGCCACGGATTTATGGATTTCCCAGCGTGATTGTAAATCTGGAGATGAAGCCCTAAACTTTTAACTGCATAGAATACGATTCAATGATCAGTCATAATCATATCGCAACCCAGATGAACTGCCAAGTCCTTGAGTGTCAAGCGACGAACTTTGTGTCCTATTGATCACACATCAGAAGAGGAATTTTCAATGTGAAAATCCTTCTGTGATTGGATTTTTCGAGACGTACCTCTTTTATCTCTTCAAAATTGCAAAATCCCATCCTGTGTCATCATCAAAATGCACTGCTCTGGAAGCTTTTTTCTCCCTTCAAACTTCACCACATTCACATGGCAGTTATTCAACGCTGAAATCAATGTGTGCAGAATTCTCACCGCACACTCTTTGGCGTGTATAAAGTTTCACATAATGGATTTCTCCTAAACCTCATATCCTATATCGTCTGTGTCAACCCTAATGTATGGCATGGGAGGAAAGTTATCGAACTCTCGATTCTCCTCTTTGTCTGACTGTCGCCTCGACAAAGCTCCCTTCGTGGCGCGTTTCGCCGCAATTTCTGAATTTTGTGACACAACACAACGATGGCCTCACCCTATAACTTCCCGATTATTGCTATCGGCACGAGGCAAATTTGTTCACATTTCTGTCAGACTCTGATGCGGTAGAATTATGAGGTGAAAATTCAGTAGCATCAGCACACAAAGACGATGATGTATCAATTTTTAACAACATATCCGTCACGTTAATTTTATGCTTTATCAAGGTCCAATATTTGCTCAACATATTCCGAACATTTTATCAGAATAATAAGATGAAATTCTGAATAATAAATGACTTTAAGTATCAAGTTATATTAAAGATGTCGATTTTAAGTTACAATAGCATCTTTTACAAAATGATGAAATACGATTCATTTAACATCTCTTCTCTCTTTCTCTCTCTGCAACTGACAACAAAAAGAGAACATGATCATCTTACATTTTTACAGCTGGCGCAATGTATTGCGGTTTTATTACAATTTGCGGTTAATTGCTCTCAAGCTGTGTGATTCAATTAAATTGCATTTTTTCCACCAAAGTCTTTAATTCACTCAAATTAAAATTCCCTAGACAAATTGAAAAAGTGAAATTGGATTTTATTTATATCATAAATTCGTGTTATTGGAGCTAAACCACTAAATTTCCATCTCTCTAGTTGTATCATTAGAAAAGTTCTGAACACTCTTCGAATGCATGCGAATTCTAGTTTATTGTTTGCAATTTGCCAGATGCTTGACAAAATAGGAACGTATCGTGAAAAGTCAACTCACCTGGATCGGGATGCTTGAGGTTCCTGGCCAAGTGTGTCAGCTGCAGAGGGATGTATCGTGTGTCAGCTCGTGGAGGACTTCTTGGCGCCGGCGGCGAGGATGTGGCTCCCGGTCCGAGTGGACAGAGAAAGGCTCGCTGCAGTTCCCATCCCACTTCCGAAATTATGCTGGCCTTGCGAAAATACGGCGTGACTTCTCGCAGAAATTTCACTGAAATCAATTCCAGACAAGATTCTGTGTTAGTTTGTGTGTGTGTGTGTTTGGCAATCCAATCCAATGGGTGTCGATTGAATCGATTTGCAATTACGGTCAGACACCTTTTGCCTCACTCAACTTAAAAGGGCGAAGCATGCGAAAGGCTAGAAAAGCCCTCGGCATTAATCATAATAGCCAACTTCCTATCCAGCACAGCAGACATTTGCCGGAAAGCTGCTTATTTTCCCATACACTCCGCCACCCACTCATTCGGTCTCGTTTGCCCATCACGATGGCCTCCATCGTGTGGGTGGTGCGCATTTAATTGAGGGAATCCGGATGATTGCATTCTATCCTCGCGCGTTGAAATGGAAAACTAATTATCGCCTTCAATAAATTCCACTTTGCCGAGAGAGTTTGAGACTTGAAAACTTTTCCACCGCACCCATTTATTGCTTCCTTCACCACTACTTTTCCACGAAAGCTCAGAAGTGAGCTTCACCACGTTTAATGCAATTCAACTATTGCCTGTGAGACGAAGACGTAGGAAAGATAATTGTCAGAATTCCGCTCTTTCATATATTTATACTTCAATTATGTTTCCAAGTATCAGGAGAGTTTTGAAAAACTTACAATTTACCACGTAGTTTACACACCTTACATTCTTTTAAATGCATAAAACTGGTAAAGCATTTCCCCCTTTATGTTCTCGAAGCAAAATCACGCTTTTAATTTGCCTTCGCGGAAGTCTTCTTCAAACTCTGTGAACAAAAAAAGGCAACATCGATAGAAGTTTTTAACAAACGAGTTGGATAATTCTCCCGAAAGCACATAAATTCCGCACTTAAACTTTGTCAATAATTCGCAAGGTTTACCCGGCGATGCAAAAAAAAATCTGTGCATCCAAGATGGGAAAATTGGTAATTTCCCCGTATATTGCAATTCATCGCGAAAGTTGTTGTCCAAGTGTAATTCCTGTGTTCATAAAACTTTGAGGGAGGCGGAAAAAAGTGCGCGTTCCACAATAGAAGTTTTATCTTGCCAGTTGCTTCGCAGCAACAATAAATCAATCTTCTTCTCGATTAATCACTGCACCGAACCGTATCCTCTCTTGTTCGTCCCCGTTTTTTTCCTGGTCCCCAAACACGGTCCTCTATCTGTCTCTGACTATGTCGAGCAACTTCCAAACTTGATGACGATGGACTCCCTCACTTCGGTCATAAAAACAGAGTCAAGAAAGGCTCAGAGCAAAACCATAGTCCGAGCGTCACACATGAGAAAAGGATACTCATTCTTCAGTCGAAGAATACCAACAATTTCCCGGGTAATTAATCAACTCTCTTTCGCACATTTTGCCCTCTGTATCGCCCCTAATCGGTGAGCTTTTACCACCACAGACAGATTTCAAAAGCTCCTCGGCATCTCTTCACCCACGTTGAACCCGGCAAAACGCAGAATGTTACTCGGAGAAATATTTGCTAAATACCTCCAGCAGTGAAGTCTATTGGGTGTGAGTAGATGGAAATCCATTAATTATAAAATGTATTTCCCAGAGCTGTACGGATTATAAGATAGCTACAGCAGGAGCGATAGAATGTGGCAGATGAGTAGTTGTTTTTACTCCTTTTAGTATAATTTTCTGCCACACAAATATAACACGCAACAGACACAATAATTAATCGCTAATTAAGCATTTTATCATTCTGATTTATAACACACACACATTTGCAATTATTTCTAGCACTCACAATTGCTCTCGGTTTTAGCGCGACGTGCTTTCGAAATCAATATACATAGTAAATCAACTTGAAAATCGAGTCTGAAATAATGCTTCGTGAATCATCGCGCTTGAAATTATGTGTGCATTCATAAGCTCAGCATTTGCTTGAGTATGTGGAAAATATCAAAGGCTTTGAGCTTTTTGTCTCGCCGCACAAGTGATCCTTATGCAACATCCCAGAAAAAACCCTTGAAATGCTGATGGAACGTACATGATAGGGAGTGCGCGTCGAAACACAATAAAAGTCTGATGGAAGCTGAGTGAAATCCTCCTGCTTTTCTCACACACAGCGCAACCATTGTATAGCAGAAAAAATCTCCATGCGAAACCTTTTCTGCTGAGGAAAAATACATCTATCCTGAGAATGCATCTCTAACACTTTGTGCCACTGAAGTATTCTCAAGAGTACTATTATATGTGTACATTTGTTCCTTGACAGCTCAAGGCTAGAGAACACTTGAAAGAAATATATTGTTTGAAACTGGCCAGGAAAGTGCATTCACACACACACTGAATAAATATGAGATATTCTTAATTCTTTGCCGTGAATGAAAATCTGTATACAATTCAAAACATTGCATGAGTGCAGAATATGAACGACACAGACGGCAAATTATCCTTAAATCCTTTCTACTGCAAATAAAGTTATTCTTCCTGCTCATTCATTGATAAATGCTTGCGTAATAAATTAATTCGTACTCTCACGCATTTTAAATGTGCAAAAGATCCAGCCACTCAATGCCCAAGATTCTAGGCTCTCTTGATCTCAATTTTCTTGTGAGACAAAGTACTTGTAGAGAAGCAAGGAAAATTGCTTCCAACAATAAGCAATCTTCATTTATTTAATGGAGAAGAAATTCAAGTGAATTGTTTATGAATCATTTCATTTCACCCAGTGCATTGAAGATTTCTCCCCCATTATCATCTCTGACGTTAAATTACACTTGAAATGGAGAGCATTATGTGGCGCAGTAAATCAAAATTCGCCAGCTCTTCAGCAGCCAACACGAGTGGGAATATCAATAATACACCCTCTGCTAAATTTCTTGGAATGATGCCAACATTCGTGTACTCTTTCGCGCCCGGCATTTTGCAACATAGCACATTTTTTATACACCTTCACACACACACACAGCCATGAGATATGGGTGGACTTTCTGCCTCTACCGCGAGCGCGAGAAAAGGCATAAAAATCCAAAAGGGAGAACTGATGTGTGATGAATGCGCAGTGTTTTTTTTTGCCCCACAATCGCAATCCCTCTTGTCAAGTGGACACAGAGAGGTGAGATTTTGTGTGAAAAATTCACTGTGACTCACTGTGATCCGAATGGCCACGTGTTCTCAATTTCTGCGTGCCGAAATAAATCGACAGAGCATGTTGAAAAGCCCGAGGAAAAGATGGTGACCAAGTTGCCATGCGAGCAAAGTGTGACATGCGATAAAATATTTTGAAAATTAACAAGAAAAATTCATTGCTACAGTCAGGAATATTTATGATGACCACTTTGTCCCCATCCGGCTATTATTTTTCTGGCAAATTGGTATGTTGCCTTCCAACTTTTTCACCCGGAAATATATATTGCATTTGAACCTCCCTATACTTTTTCACCATCTCATTCCAGCCATGGCACAATTGCCGCCCCGGCATTTTACTGCTACATTCTCACATCAATTGTGAGCATTTCATGGCAATGCATTGCGCAAATTGTCCAAGAGACACTCTAAAAACTGTCCGGAGATTTCTTTCTTTTTCTTTCAAGAAATAACAGAAAAATACATAAAATACTCATATCATGAGAAATTTATGCCACATCATGTGTTTCGCTTTGATAAATATTGATATAAATGTTCACAATTTGGCTTGTCAGAGAACATTTGGTGAAAAAATTATTTTTAGCAAAGTATTTTTGGCATTTTCATCTTTTGCAAGAGACGCATAAAGAGTGGAAAATGCGACATAAAACTTTGTGTGATGGGAAACTTTTTGGTTTCAGTTATGCTTTTCATGTCATTGATAGTGTAGAATGAACAACTATAATTTGCTTAATTTTAACGTAATTAAATCTATTATACTGAGTGCTTTTCATCACTAATGAAACTGTTGCCTCTCAATTTCAATCATTTTCAACTCAAAATTATCGAAATGAGACATAAATTGTATTGAAACATTTCCTCAAATATAATATGAGGATAAGTCAATTTCAATCTTAATATACTTAAATGTACGCAAAGCATATTTCATTAACAAAAGCCAAGTCTGTAGTTTGAAACTTCTCATGGAAGATCACAAAGTTTTACACCAATTTGCAACACATGAAGAACTTTAAAGCAATAATTATACACAAATCCTATAAATTTTGAATAGACAAAATTTCAGATATAAATAGTGGATAACATTAAATCAATTAGTCAGGTAATTTGTCACTCTCTGCAGAAACTATATGGCAATAAAACTGACAAATCATTGAAAATAAATTTTCAATAATACTACCCAAATTCGAGTATTTGTCATGGTAAATTTATTTTTCGGAAAAACTCATTGCGGCAATTAATTGCATGTCATTTCGCAGTGATATAAATACATAAATTGTTGGCAATAAACACAAAGCCAAAGAACATCTTTGGCAAAATAAGGAAAATCTCATGATGCTCGCAAAAACGAAGGGCCACATAAAAATGCGCCTTAAAAATCCGTTTAACCATAAACTTACTATTCTATTCGAGTATACGTGAATTGGATAGATATTTCTTATATTCGTCCTCCGGTGATAAAATTTGATTTTTATTGCTAACACCCAAATCAAACTCTTGTATTTCCTCTCTGTTTTGCCCTTTCATACAGACTAGAAGAAAAAGAAGAGAAAACATTGACGAAAAACCACCCACGCCATCGAAAGTGGGATAAGAGAGAATTTCAATTTTGAATTTTTCGTGCTGTGCAACTTAATGGTGCTGTTTTTTTTTCTATGCCAAAGTGAAATGGAGAAAAAACTCATACATGTTTTTCCTTCTGCTCATGTTGTGGTGAAAAAGTGAAGGAAAATACAAATTTCACGCTGTGATTTATACCCCAGAAGAGTTATTTCGTGTTTTTTTCCGGGTCGAAAGTGAGAGAGCACAGAAAGATGGAAATGAGAGTTCAGTGGCATCCAAACATCCCTCAAGGTGTTGAGATAGTAAAATGAAAATGTCACAAATGAAATGGCAAGTTCAGCCATGATATATCACACTGTAT